TCTCTCTCTCTCTCTCTCTCTCTCTCTCTCACACACACACACACACACAAACACACACACAAACACACACACAAACACACACACAAACACACACACAAAACACACACACACACACACACACAAACACACACACAAACACACACACAAACACACACACATAAACACACACACACACAAACACAAACACACACAAACACACACACAAACACACACACACACACAAACACACACAAACACACACACACACACACACACACACACACACACACACACACACACACACACACACACACACACACACACACACACACAAACACACACACACACACAAACACACAAACACACACACACAAACACACACACACAAAAACACACACACAAAAACACACACACAAAAACACACACACACACACACACACACACACACACACACACACACACACACACACACACACACACACACATACACAAGCACACACACACAAGCACACACACACAAAATCTCCATTGTTAATTTGAACAATTTGAAATTACAGTTAGTACATTTACAAAGCTTACTGGTGTGTTAGTATGGAGCTTGGAATTGCAAGGTATTTGATAATGTTCTTGTGGGTGAGGTGGCCTTTCTAAGATGTAGGAAAACAAAATTCTCAGTAACCTATATGTACATACCCATAAGTACTTGTACACACTTACACATCATACTTATGCATACATACGTGCGCTTATGTGTTTAGGGAGTTCTTTTGCATACCTATATTTTTTTTTTCACTTCTTCCAGATTTATATAAGAATTTCTATGCATAGTGTTTATGTGAATAAGTGTATACAGGTATTATGACCAAATAAAAAGGTAGTACAAGAAAGAATGGAAAATGTTCACACACAGTAACACACACATTCATATATATGTATATCTGTGATGATGATGATCATAGTTTTTTTTTTTTTATCATTTTTATATTGAAAAAGATTTTATAGTAGCTAATATGCTTTAAGTAGAAATCAAGATATTAGAACAGTATCCTATTTATTAAAGATGTGTGGTTATTAACCACAGGGTGAGAATCAGACAGACCCAGAATAGAAAAATGCAGTATTTGATTTAACCTGATAGAAGCCTTGTTAGCAGTGACATCAGTATTACCTTCACAATACTTCCGTCTAAAAGTATTTTATACTGAGTCACAATATCTGCTTGAATGAAATTAGGCAACCCAGTGCTTCTAAGCTCTAGATATTTCTCTTGTAAGATATTTCTTGCAATTTTTTTTGTAGTACAGATGACTGTTAGAGTTTTGTATTTTTATATAGTAATATCAGAGTATTTTAAAGATCACTGTAATTGTGATAGTAGGGACTGAAAGCAATAATGAAAGCTAGTAACAAGTAATATTTACCTGTCTTACTCATGAACTGATTGGGGAAAGTAATGAAAGAATTAGGGTATTATAAATCCGTTCAAAAATCTTCACCTTTACATAGTGCCTTGATGTCATAAAATGTTAAGTACCAGAAGTATTTTAACCTCATAACATGTAGGTACAGTAGTTTTATGACAGTGATGACTCCACAGTTTTATGTAGAATTCAGAGCTAGTTATTTCAATTTATGGTCCTTCCCATTTCTATATATAATTTTTTTTTTTTTTTTTTATGAAATACAAATATTGACAATAGGGGAAGTTAATATAAATTATTTGTTCATGTTTTGTTATTAGTAAGAGTTCTGGTATATATCTAAAATGGAGATAATAGATGATATCTAATTATGGATTGTTGGGTACACATTATTTTCATTATAAATTTTAGGGACAAGGGTAATTGCAGCTGTTATTGAGATGCCTTTATGTATTGTTGTTAAATCTAGGCTTTATCATAGTCTGTTGTCTTGCATTTATTGTTCCAAGGTGATTTGTTATATGATTTACATGACATTGAGATGTTGACTAAAGTGCCTTACTAATCTGTGTTATCAATTTGATTATGATTAATGAAAAAGTAATTGTGTATGAATCCGTGGTTTTTATTCTTTACTTAGTTCAGTACCAGGTGGTGATTACCACTTATGTTCAAATAGAAAATAAAGTTATAGATCAAACTTATTTACGAACACATTAATCTCTTCTTTTTAAGTGAACTGCATTCATTGGAACAAATGTAGAATAGATATCAATGAGAATAAATATCTTCACAGTTTGATAGATGTATTTGACCGTTTTTCATCATATCTTCATCAGAAATACATGACCTTCGTTCATGATGAATATATAATTGAAATCGGTCAGATCAATCTCTTGCACTGTGAAGATATTTGTTCTCATTTTCTCAGTCATAGCCTTTTGTACTATTCTTTTTGAATGAAGTGAGAAAGTGCTCCTTGTCATGTGAAGGAAGAGTGTCTTAAATATTTTTTTGTGGAATTGAGCAAAGAACAAAAGTAGAAGGAGTGGGTTGTGATTTTTGTATCATAGAGATTATGTATTTTTTTTTATGTATTTTATAAATTTGTTTAATCTGTATTTTTTGTAAATTATATTTTACTTGCAATAATAAATCCTATGTGTAACATTGACTTTGTGCCTTTTTTTTTCCTCACAAAATGTACCACTTCACAGTCTTAAGTATGTAATGTTTACTTCGAATGGATAAATATTTGTCTGAATCTAAATGGTACCATATTTTTTTACTATATTTTTTTGTCCTAACAGGCTGGTAAAAAATATACTCATTTATTTGATGTATATATGTCTGTCTGTCTGTCTGTATATTTATGCTACCAATCTACCTTATGTCCTAATAAAAGTGTAAGTTTTGAAAGCTTTCACATATATTATAATATTTAGTTAAAGGGCAGAAGTATATGGAAAACAAATTTATGCCACAGCCTATCCGAGCCAGCTTAAACAAATCTGCATAATTTTTATCTTAGTTTAAAAATGTAGAATAACTGATGTGAACAGGAAAAAGTTCATGTCATATAGACAAGTAACAAAGAAATTGCCATATTTTTGTTGATAAAAATTGTATAATAAAAATGACTTTTTTATATAATTAATAAATGCAGAAAATTCAAAATTCTGATCTCATTGACAGTTACTTAGTTCAGAAACTCATCAACAGTGACAAAGGAAAAGACCGTCAATACATAGCATAAAGAACGCACTTATGAATAGTACACCAAAGTTTGTGAAAAAAATATCAGTGAATTTCAGCAATTTCTCCTTAATTTCCCTTCGAAATATGTCATATACGTGGTTTGTTTTACATTTACACCCTCAACCATAATGAGGTTCTTTATCCATGTTTCTCATTTATTCTGTTAACCATCTTAATGTGGTCTTTGAATTTGTTTTTTTGTCTTCCCCTTTATTAACCACACACCTGAGCTGCACTTCAATACTGGAAGTGCACATTGCTATATTTTCAATATTAAGACATATTATGTATTATGCATGAAAATATTCAGTTTTGTATTCCACAAAAAATCTTTGGATTATCTGTTGAATTCATTGTGGTTATCTCAAGCAACACTTGCCCACACAAGTGGGCAAGTGGGTATGATTACTGGGCATGTGTTGTTTTTCCCCCATTCGCTTGCTTCTTGTTGCTGTAGGGGAGCTTAGGAGATGAAGATAGAGACCCAGTGCTGGGGATCTACCCTGCCTTGGTCCTCAGCCTTCAACTCAACTAATTTTGTGGTCTTTTTCCCTCCCCCTTTTCATTTGCATCTTTTCTCCAACCCCTTATATTATGCCCTTCTTAAGGTGTGAGAGCTGTGCTAAAGGATGAAAGGCTGACTTTATCTCAGCCTTTATGTTCTAGTGGGGCCATTGGCATGGTATTCCCCTGTTTAGTTGTCTAGCTCTTACCCCAATATACTCTTGTCTTACCATGGCCAGCAATGAAGACTTTATAACCTTATTAATAGCCTCACTGATTCAAATTCTCCCGGTTCCCAGACCCCAGGCTCTCCTTTGACCATGACTGAACACTGATACTATTACCCCTTTCTCAAAGCATACTATCACATCATCAACCCAGGTCAATACTCAACCTCCAGGAGACATTGCTACTCTCCCAGCATTCTCACCTTCTTCCCTTCTACCCCCACAGCTTTCTTCATCAGCTACCCCATTCTCCCTTATTACTTCTCTGCAACCTTACTGTCCACTTCTCCGCATTACTACAACTCTAAACGTTCTTCTACTACCCCCACCTTTACAAACATCTTAAATACTCTATTTTTCTCCTTCACCTACCCTTCCGTCACCGACCCCCAACCCGTCAGACATCCCTACTTTCTGCTTTGACAACCTGTTCTCCTTCTTTAGACACATACATATCCTTCACATGATATAATCTCCCTTGCTTAATCCTATCTTAATCCATTTACTCATCGCCTTCTTTGCCTATCTTTACCCTTTCCAATACTATTCTCGACTAATATTCCAAAGTAACTATTATGAAATCACAACACTGCATTCCTGGTCTCATTATGCATGTGTGTGTGTGTGTGTGTGTGTGTGTGTGTGTGTGTGTGTGTGTGTGTGTGTTTTAGTGTGCGGGATTTTCAAAATGTATTCGGATCAAGTGTTTGTCTTTGGTCTTACTAACACATGAAAAGCTAGAAATGGCTCCTAGCATTAACTAGAGCACATGCCACATTTTACTTTGAGCATAGTCTTCACGTAGATACTGATCCATCTGAGTTGGGTATGTGATAAATAAGCGTAAATATTAGAATTTTGTATTTACTATTATTCATATATATATATATATATATATATATATATATATATATATATATATATATATATATATATATATATATATTTTTTTTTTTTTTTTTTTTTTTTTTTTTTTTTTTTTTTTTTTTTTTTTTTTTATAGTAACCGACTTGGTTGCTGCTTGTACCCGTAATGCAACTTTGAATAAAGGTAAATTATTTTTTTAAAATCGCTTCTCCATATCGATCAGTTCTTACTCTGACGTTGAAGT